AGAAAGGAAGAAGAAAAGGAGAGAGAGAGAGAGAGAGAGAGAACAGGCTGTAGACATAGCCCAACCATTAAGAGCACATACTATACTATACTATACTATACTATACTATACTATACTATTCTTCCAAAAACCAGAGTCTGGTTCCCAGCACTCACATCAAGCAGCTCTCAACTGCCCGTGACTCCAGCTCCAAGACACATCTCATGTCTCTAGTTTCTGTGGGTACCACATCAGATGAATATCCTCCACATACAGATAATTAAAGCTGTGCAGCATGATGGTGCATGCCCTTCATCTTTATATCCGGAGTGCTGTGAGTTTGAGGTCAGTCTGATATACTATCAAGTTACAGGTTAGCCAGGACCCCATAGTCAGACCCTACTCAAACCAACTGACCCACCAGATTTAAAGACTGTATCACTTAAACAGTTAGTAGCTTCTCTAACAAGGAAAAATGTTACTCAAAGACTCAGATAACGTACCTTTTCCTTTTCTTTTTCTTTTGGTACTTCCAGAGGGGCAGGATATGCGAATGTGGATGGTTTACAATTTGATTTATATTGAACTTTTGGCATCTGAAGAAATAAAACATTCTTTTGTTTTCTCCATGGAAATAATATCAAGGCATGTATTCAGTTCTTAACAAGCATACAGACGCAAAGGGAGATGGAAAGTTTCCATGCAAGTTAAATGTTCAACAACAAAGCTGGTTCCATGTTAGTGCTCAACGAAAAGCAATGTGAACTAATTTTGGTACTCAGTTTCCTACAGATCCTAAAGCTTTGCCACAGAACAAGCATCATTTTCTCTCGTGCTTTCTCCAAACCACCCAGTGTTAGTGGGCTAAATGCTATTCATGCTGTGAACATGGGAATAACTGTTACCTACTGAGTAAAGAGCTACAGATTCCTTCTGCTTAATAAATACTCACGACCATTCCTTGTACCACACTGACAACTTATTAGTCTGCATACAGTTTCCTTACCACACAATTGTGCTTCTAACACAGGCCTAATGGAAAACTAGCTTCATATTGCTTATGGAACAAACCTGCTCTCTAGCCTGCATCTTTCTTTACTTACCTACTTTGCATTAATGAAAAATGGAAATAAGCACCACATTTGCCAAGACAGGAACTTATCTTGTCTATCTCACTTTCATTGTTTAGAATGAAACAGTATAAAATTGGCAGACTGCAAGCCTCCAAAGATTACATAGGGGGTTTAATGACAACGTTAAATATCAAGGATTAGGAAAACAAAATACTGTTGTTTTGAGAAATAAAGATGCGGTGAGTAGTTTTAACATTGAAATATTTACTGAAGAATAGTTGTACAGCTATAATGAAATATTAGTATAAGGAATTACTTAAGACAAATTTGAGCTTAAAAAAATCATTCTGAAAATTTAACAAAAAATCTTAAAAAAAAAAAAAAAAAAAACAGTGATGGCAGGATATAGGAGGTATTTAAAAGCCCAAAAGCCTTTAAGGAAGAACAAGATGAATCATCAGGTCACAGGACTGGGAAAAACCTAATCACAAACCCCATTAAAAATGTGATTAAAAACTGTGAAGACAGGGCACGTAGCACGTAAAACTTTTAACCTTTGCAATCAATTTTGTTCTGTCAGACTCCCTGATTCCTCACTGCTGGTCTTGTTTCTACCACTATCGCCTGCATTTCTTTCCCTTACACTAGTAATCCTTTGTTAAGCAGGCAAGGAGGTCTTTGTGCTCACAGAGAAGAAGCACTGGGGGAACCAGTAATGTTAAACATGCAGGGCTGTCTCTTTAAAGAGAGAGATGTCTAATCTGTTTTCCACCCAGAGGCTGAGAGCGGATGTGGTTAACAGCCTGATGACCTCTGTGCTATCTGTGTGGCTGGACACAACCCAGGGTCCTCCCCAGACCCTTATCATGAGCTTGTTTTTCTCAGTCAATCTATAGAACCCATCTTTATGGAACATAGGTACTTTATAAGGTAGTCACAGCTTTGTTGTACATAAGAGACTGCGTTAATTATTGTCGGGAAATTTTTCTCCAAACTGTGCTATGCTTAAATATGCCTAAAATAAACCACTCAGGGTCAGACTCTCAAAGTTTGAACCAACACTGGCTACTGAACTGTGCTGAACCTTCTGCTACCTTTGAATTAAAGTGGCCGAGCATGGTGGCCCAGGCCTAGAATTCCAGTGCTCTGGAGGTTAAGGCAAAGGGATGCTGACTGAGTTCAGAGATCACTGAGCTACACAGAATGACTCTATCTATCCCCCAAACCAAAAATACTAGCCAGGCATAGTGGCACATGCCTTCAATTCAAGTATTCTGGAGGCAAAGACAGATAGGTCTCTGTAAATTGAAGGCCTGCCTGGTCTACATAGTTAATTCCAGGCCAGTCAGGAGTGAGACCCTATTGCAAAACAAAAAACAAACCAAACCACCCAAAATACACAGAATGGCTTATAAAATCTCTTCATAGTTTTGTATTAAGTACCCCATCATTCCCTCTCAAAAGAGGTGTCCAGTGTTACACAGTTAGCAAATGTTTCCTTTCAAAACTGCCACAGACACACTCTACTCCGTAAGGACTAAGTGCTAACTCAGATTGAACGAAAAGATGCTACCTGAAACAGTCACCTTTCAAGTTTCACAGATATCCCACAAAGCTTAGGACTCACAGACATACCTTTAAGTCCTTATTAAGGCCAATGACACAGGTAGGGGTATAAGCCAATGACAGGAAGTGCGAAAGGGGAAACCAGAACCAGAACTGGGTAAAAACAAGGACGCCAACCACAGAAGGCATATGAGTGTGCCCAGTCCTGGACTGTAAGGAGATTGTGACATTGTGACCACCTGCAGAAAAAGACAAAGACCATGAGCAGAGCAACCCATCAAGATGAAAAGTTATTTCTAGGTACTCACTAGGGAAGCAGCTAGTGATTTAGTTTTTTTGTTTTTCTTTGAGACAGACTCTCAGTCCTGGAGCTCACTATGTAGACCAGGTCAGCCTTGAACTCACAGAAATCAGACTGCCTCCACCTCCTGAGTGCTGGGATTAAAGGTATGTACCATTGCATCCAGTAATTTATTTTATGTGTATGAGTGTTTTGCTTACATATATGTATATGTACTATGTGGGTGTCTGATGTCCACAGGGGCAGAAAAGGGTGTTGAATCCTTGAAACTTAGCTACAGGAGGCTGTGACCCACCTGATGTAGGTTCTGGGAACTGAACTTGGGTCTTCTCTAAGAGCAGAAAGTACTCTTTAACCATTAAGCCGTATCTCTAGCCCCACAAAAGGAAAATTCTAACAATTAATTTTGGATTCCAAACGTTTCCCAAGGAAGAATACAATAAATAATGAAATCAGCTGATTACGATCAGGAGTTTGTACTGTGAGAAGGTGAATGGATTGAACCTCAACCTGTTCTGTCTCTTGCCACATCCTTTAGATTACCCTTTTGGGGAGTATAGAGAAACACAGCTTGAAAGCCAGCGAATTAAGAGTGGAGAGCCAAGCTATTAGTTAAAGAGCTGGATTTTTGCAGGATGTAGTGGTATATGACTATCTATGATCCCAGTAACCTTGGACTACAGAGTGAACCCTGCTACTCCTCCCACAAAAGAAACCCCAGATGAAAGTCACCGAACACTTTACTAAGTAACTAGAACTGTTCTAACTTCTCTCCAATATTTCTAACACTCCCAACACTATGAGGTAGACCTTACAAAGCAAGAAAGAGAACAAAGAGAGAAAATAATTTGAGTTTATACAGCTGTTGTATACAAGGATTAGGACTTGCTAAGCACTTGTCAGCTACTTGTAAGAGGTTGAGGTAAGAGGATAGCAAGTTCAAGACCAACCAGGGCAACTAATAGACCCTGCCTCATAATAAAACATAAAAATGGGTAATACTCAGTGGTATAATTACATTCCATGTGTGATGTCCTGGGTTCAGTCTTCAGCAGGGAGGCAAGAGGGAATAGTGAGTGTGTGTGTGACATATATGTTTGTGCTTGAATAACTGAAAATTATCTCTGGAAACTATACACTCCTCAAGTTCTACCCTGAAATAATTTGCTTCAGACTCAATTTCCATGATGTCATACAGATCATTAGATTAGCTATTTCATTAGATTTACATACATCTGGAAGACCTAAGAACATTTACCTGCATCCAGTATGCCTTGGGCCAGAATAGCGCCAAATTTGGCCATGACATCATCATGCTTGTCATTGATGACTTTGGAATACAGCTGCCTGAACTGATTCACCTGAAAAAGCAAGAAGAAAAATTATGGTCTAACTCTGTCCATTTGTGACATTAAAAAGCACCCAATAAGCTGCTTACGATATTGAGACTGATCTCTCAATTTCAAGACATTTAGAAGATGGAGATGGACCAGATGTGAAGGCAGAACAATTCTGTGCTTGAAATCAGTGTTCCGACTTCTTAGTGTGGGAGCATGGGCTGTTTTCAGTCCTCATTCCACAGTGGATGATTCAGACTCAAGGGAATGCTGAATAAGATTTCATTCTGCACCAGGCAGTCAGCAGGCCCAAACAGTCCAAGCAAACACTAAGGCTTTTGTTGCACTTTGAATTACAGTTATGCTGCTTACTGTCAACCGAGCAGATCTTCTAACAGGCACAGCCGTTCGGTTCTACCTTATGTAAATGACCCTTCCCTCAGACTGTGAGTGTATTTACAAACATTAAGAATGTGCATTCTGAACACACAACAATTTTTGAAGACCTGGTCAGAATCAGTACTCTTTTTTTTTTTTTTTTTTTTTTTTTTTTTTTTTTTTTTCCTTCTGGAGACCAGGCTGGCCTCAAACTCACAGAGATCAGCCTGCCTCTGCCTCCCGAGTGCTGGGATTAAAGGCGTATACCACCAACGCCCGACCCAGAATCAGTACTCTTTATGATTCAACTTAGGGTGAGATTACCAGTAATTTTTGTATGCATTAGTATTTTCTGAAATTAAATATATATTGCTTTCATATAAAAAGGCTTATAAAATATTCTTAATAAATAAAGTGATTTCTTTAACTGTTTGGGTGGAGGTGGGGCACTATCTTATGCTTCTTCCATGTCTTACACTTCCTTGTTTTCCCGACAGTGCTTTCAAATGGTAGGCACTCAGGAAGAAGTCTGCTTGTTCAAGAAGCACATGATCATGGAGCTCCCCAAATCTGCCAAAAGCAGAAAACACCAGATTTGAGTTTCCTAACATAATGAGTTTAGCACACATTCTTTCAGAATCTCTTCTGTTTATATTGGTCTGATGGCTACAGTGCGGTCCTGTGGCTGAGTAACAGATTCAGACAGCCCTGGCATATGACTCTCTGCTCTTGGAAGCCTTTACTAGTCTGTCTGTCTGTCCTGTGTCCCTTTTCTTTTCATATGGGGTTTCTTGTAAAGTGTCCCAGGTCTCCTGAGCACAAATGATTCTTTTGCTGAAGCCTCCTTAGTGGCTGGGACCACAGGTATCTAACTGTATCTAACCACTTACCAGCTTTTCTGCACTCCAGTTTTTCCCTCTTGTGGAGGTTTATAACATCTCTCTCATCTATGTTCTAAAGACTACCGGAAGCAATACGTGGTCACATAAATATGAGGCATTTCATACTTAAGTGAGCACGGATGTCTTATGGAGGCAGAATCTTACTACCCTCTGGACTATCAGCTCTGCCACCTAAACACTGCTAACAAAACAACATTCTTAAAGATGGCTCTCAGTTTTATTCACTACTAAGTCATACACATCTGGCCATACCTCTTTAAAAACTATAATATCCACCATACTGAGTTCACAACTAATTTTAAATAACTTAATGTTTGATGTTTTTACTCTGGCTCAACAGGTCAAATTCCTTTGATTCCAAACTTGTTTTAGATGATGCTTACATTACCTTACATAGGATGGAAATTTTATGTGTTAAAGGTTTAAAAATATCTCATGAACTTATAAAAATAAATACCAAAATACTGCATGTACATTACAAGGGAGAATTTAAATACAATCTTATCATATCATAGTTTTCTAACTAGCTTCATGGTTTAGAATATGACGGTGCCATGGCCAAACACAGAGGTGTACATTACAACCCTGTCCGTCACTTGAGAGTGGAAGATGGCCCAAACTACACAGGGAGTCATCTATCTCAAAAAACAGTAAAACAAAAGGAATGGCAATACCCCCCCCCAAAAAAAAACCTAGAACTTGTGGAAACTATTAACTTAAAATTAGGTTATTCTGTGATCCATGTGTTCTACTATGTACAAATTTCTAAAATCTACCCTTTCTAAAATCATGCATTTTAAATATTCATCATGCTCTGCATTTGATATCTTATACTACTAGAAAAACCAGAAAGGAACAAAATTCTCTGGAGCTATTTGTTCTGCAGAGCACATTCCCTTCCCTCCTTTCTTTCTTCTTCTTTCTGGCTGAAGAAATTATCTTGACATATCAGGAACTGGTTTGGAAGTTTTAATTTTTCTTTGACATCTGTGTTTAGAACTTCAACTATACAACTGTAATTCCTTCCATGAGATCCTTGAGGCCAAATGTATTTGGAATTTAGATTTAAAAACCTAACATGAGGACTGGAAAGATGGCTCAGTGGTAAAGAGCAGTAGCTCCTCTTTCAGAGGACCTGGGTTCAATTCCCAACCCTCACAGGGCCATTCTGTAATTCCAGTTCCAGGGGATCTGACCTTCTTCCTGGCCTCTGCAAGTATCAGACATTGCACCCATGTGGCATACAGACACATATGTAGGCAAAACACCCATACACATATATAAAAAAAAAAAGCCAATATGACATACACACCTTGTATTTCTGGTAGGGTGTGGAATAATATTCCATAATCAAATTAGTACTTTTGAAGTAGCAAACATACAGTTATATACCATAAGCAGGATAAAGGCAACAAATGACTCATTACTAGGTCAGATTTTACAGTCAACTGGGTCCTTTTGTTTTGTTTTTCAAGACAGGGTTTCTCTGTGGCTTTGGAGGCTGTCCTGGAACTAGCTCTTGTAGTCCAGGCTGGCCTCAAACTCACAGAGATCCACCTGCCTCTGCCTCCCAAGTGCTGGGATTAAAGGCATGTGCCACCCCCACCCCGCTCACCTGGGTCCTTAAAAGCAAACTTGTAAGATACTCTTACTGATAGCAACATGATTTCACCATGTAATGGTTTAAACTTGAGATGTCTGTCAAGATATTCTTACTGATAACTTCATGATTCCATTGTGCAATGATTTCAACTGAGATGTCTCAGTTCCTTGGTTCCTTGGTGGTGGTATTTTAGGTGGTGGAACCTTTAAGGCCAGTCCTAACTGGTTAAAGTAGGTCACTAGAAGGTCACTTTGAAGGTTATAGTAGTGGTTCTCAAACTTCCTAATGCTGCTATCCTTTAATATAGTCCCTCATGTTGTGGTGACCCCCAATCATAATATTTTGATGCTACCTCATAACTATAATTTTCTACTGTTATGAATCATAATGTAAATATTTAATATGTAGGATGTTGAAACCCATAGGTTGAGAACCACTGGGTTATAGCATAGCCCTGGTTCTGGTCTGTCTGCTACCTGATCCATTGCTATGCAAACAGCCCTCCCAGCCCCTCCATACTCTTGCTGACATGGAAAGAGTCATTCTGCCATGTCTTCTTTCTATGATGAATTAAAATTCCTTGAAACCACAAACCCAGATGATTTCTAGGAGGTATTTTGTTCACAGTCATGCAAAAATGACTAATAAAACTTATCACAATCATACATATTTTCAGTTTTCATCTGAATTTTATTAATTTTAACTATACAATAGTGTCTTTTTTTCTTTTCTTTTTGTTTTTTTGAGACAGGGCTTTTCTGTGTAGCCCTTGCCATCCTAGAACTCACCCTGTAGACTAGGATGGCCTCAAACTCTTCAACAGGTGTTTGCCCACCTCTTCCTTCTGCGTGCTGGGACTCCACTCTAATAGTATATTATATCTTAAATATTTTATAAAATTTCATTTTTATAAACATTTTTCTACAGAGATGAGTATTTAAAAACCTAACTTCCTTAAACATTTTAAAAAAAAGTTCTTACATTAAAAAAGAACAGTGTGTGTGTGTGTGTGTGTGTGTGTGTGTGTGTGTGTGTATAGAGGTTAGAGAACAATTTTTGGGAGTGTAGTTTCAGGCATTGAACTCAGGTCATTAAGTTTGGTGGCAAATACCTGTACCTGTTGAGCCATCTCTCTGGCATAAAATTAAAACATTTATCAAATTCTAAATGCTAACCTTATACTTCTGGAAGTGGAAATGCTATTTTTTGATCAAGGAAAAAGGATTACAATTCTTTGGATTCATTTCTGATGAATCATGATAGTCAACAAAAGTCTAATCTAACCAAACTGCAACTTCATTTTAGAAGCAAGGAGTTTAACAAGCTTGGCTAAACACGATCCTGCTTCTCAACAGGTACTTGTCAATGGTGGGACAACACGTACTTGCCAGTGGTCAGAGAAGATTCTTTGTACCAGATCACAGAATAAATGTTGTCAAGATTAAGAAGAGCACTGGGTTTCATTATTATTAGTTCTAAATGGACTTTATCTATATGTATGTGAGTATGTATCCTTAGAGGCCAGAACAGAGCATTGGATATGCGGGAGTTACGACAGTTAGTGAGCTGCCTGATGTGGATGCTGGGAATTGAACTTGGATCCTCTACTAGAGCAGCAAGAACTTTTAAGGAAGGATTCATCACCTGCTCATCCCTGAGAGCTTATTTTTATATTGTAATTTTTTCATCTTTTTATACACTATATTACCATGTAAATGTTCAAATAAACTGCTAATGGTGGATTTCATTTAACAAGACAAACAACAGATGATTCATGAAGAAGGGAGTTAGGTTTTTAAGAGAAAATAGCTCCAATAACGTGTGCACTTAAAACCTTCTAAATTCTGTCTATAATAATACAGAAGTGTGTCTATGATCCTGGGTTTATGTTTCTGGGTGTGAACAAATGAGAAACTGATATAAACAAGTCAAAGATATACTGGTATTATTTAAACCAAGAGCACAATGTGCAGGCTAAGTGTTAGAACTATGACGTAATATTACACAAACACTTCAGATTTCCATTATGAATCTTACACAATATTCAAGTTCATTTTCCTTTGCATTTCTTTGAGGAAGTAGTAAAATTATTCTCTTTTTAATCATTTTTGTGTATATGGATGTTTTGCCTACATATAAATCTCTACACAATGTTTGTGTCTGGTGCCCAAGGAAGCGTGAAGAGGGTATTAGATCCACTGGGACTGGAGTGGTCGTTGAGTGTGTGGGTGCTGGAAATTTAACCTGAGTCCTTTGGAAGAGCAACCAGTACTCTTAACTGCAGACTCATCTCTCTAGCCCCAGGATATAATTCTTAATTCCCTCATATTTGTGTTTGAGTACTGATGTGAAAATGTAGAACTCTGGGGATTTGAGAATTTTGTTCTCTCTAAAAATACAGACATTTTCAGACACAGTTTTACTTTTGTAGTCAGGATATAAACATCTACATTTGACCAGCCAATATATATTAAATGCAGAGCTAGCAGCTATAGGTACATTTAAATTTTTATGTTTAGCATTTACTGTTAGTACATAGTATTTGTTTTGTGTGTCTGTGTGTGTGTGGGTGCCTGAGTGCCACAGTGTACACGTGGGAGTCACAGGACAACTAGTAGGAGTCACCCACCGCCCCCACTATGTGGGACGCAGGGAGAGACCTCAGGCTTGCTGGCAGGCATCTTTACCCACTGAGCCACCTTGCCAGTACTACTTAAACTTTCTTAATTAGTATTCATTATTCTGATACAACCTTTGTTCATACCAGTTGAGACTTCATTCAAGATCATAACTTGCAATTATTCAAAAAAAAAAATCAATTGCTTAAACTGCTGTACCTTGTCTGCTTTTCTAAATGTGACATTTCTTAGAGTCAATTTAAAAATGAAAATCAAAAAAACCTGTAGTTTACCCTATTCTACTTCAAGAGTTCTGCTACTATTAGTGTGAGGTTATGACTACTAAAAAACACTGAAATTATTTCTTTCATTTCTTCTTCTTCTTTTTTTTTTTTTTTTGAGATAGGTTTTTCTGTGTAACCCCGCTCTCCTGGAACTTGCTCTGTAGACCAGGCTGGCCTTGAAACCAGAGATCTGCTTAGCTCTGCCTCCCAAGTACTAGGATCAAAGGCATGCGCCATCATGCTTGGCTCTGAAGCCTTGTCTCTGTCTGTCTCTGAGATAGGATCTCATGTAGCTTGGGACAGGCTCAGCCTTACTAATGGAGGGTGCCTTGAGCTCCTGGGATTACAACCAGGCACCTTCATACCAATTTCATTTTAATTAAGTAATTTATTTATTGTGTGTGAATGGAGGCCAGAGAAGAGTACCAGGTATGCCACTCTTACTCTGTCTGACTCCCTTCAGACAGGTCTCTTTCTCACTGAACCCGGAGCTTGGCTGGAAGTTGAAATCCCCAGAGACCCTCCTGTTTCTGTTTCTCACAGCACTGGAGTCACAGGGGCATTAGTGGCCATGTGTGACTTGTACATGGTGCTGGGGTACTCAGATCTTCCATTGTTACATAGCAAACATTCTTCCATGATGAGCTATCTCTTCAGCTCCCATATCTGGTTTAATCAAATTCTATAGCTAGAATATGAAGATGGCTAAACTTTTGTCTAGCTGACAACAGAAGCAATGTGAAAGCAATATGTGAGGTCCAAGTGGATAAATATTTATATGTGACTATTTGAGGAGGTGCATTCTTTAATGACATTGCTCAGCTGGATAACCGCCAAAGGCTCAGTGCAACATCAAAAGCAGAAATAAAAGCTACTCATACGATAGCTGCTATATTTAAAGCATGAAGAAATGTAGTCTGTGTTAGCAAAGATGTTTATGTTCTAGAAGACATAGTATACTAAGCAATTCTTGGGAAAAACAGGATGTGAAGTCAAGAGTTTATGTGTAATAATACAATTTTCAGAAACCCTGAAATGATTTTGAGAGAAGCACTGGGTAATGAGACAAGATGACAGTGGCTGCTTAGAAACTAAAGGCTTGTCAGACCAAGCTCTGTGGAGGCAGAAGGACACTGGAGAGTCTGGCAAGTGTGTCCCTCTTTCTCCTCTCTCCTCCTCTGCTTAAAATAAAGGTCTCTGTGCCTGCTGCTGAGGCTGAAGAGAGGCCAATGGCCTCCTCATTCCTTTCCTCTTCTGTTTTTGTTTTTATAAGACAATGTCCTCACTATGTTGTCCAGGTCAGCCTTGAATTTGTGACACCCCTGCCTTAGCCTCTTAGGTACTGCAACAACTTGCAGCTGCTAACACACCTGGCATGAACATTTTTTTTTTTTCTGTTAGTAATGCTTTGTTTTTTATTGCTTTTCAAATATATACACAATCAGTTCAAGGCTGCTAAATGCTCTAAAACTCTAAATACAATATTATGGAGACAGGCTAAGTATTTTTCTTTCTTCTTTTCTGTACTGGAGATTAAAACCAACACATATAACTTTACTACTGAGACCCCTCCCCCATCTGTTTTAATACTGAGTTAGTGTCTTTACTAAATTGTCTAGGCTGGCCTTGAAACCCCCTGTAGCTAAGGCAGTGCTAGAACTTGAGGCCCTCCTGAGAAGCTAAGATTACAGGTAGGTACCACTTTGCACAGGGCCAGTGGCTTACATTTCTACTGAATACATCAAGCAAGATAATTTCAGAATATACAAATAATACACACACACTTTCTGTTCTCAACAGAATGAAGTGTTTTGGCTGTGTCCAGAAGTACTGCACAGCAAAGACTAATATGAGTTAAAAGCGACTGTCATGAGGGAAGTATTAAATAAGTACCTCAAATTTGGCTATGCTTAATCCAGAGCAGATGCAGCCTATCTTTCTCCCTCAGCAAAGATCCAGAGAAAGAGGATTCAGAGGGACCACTTGGAGAACTCATGGTCAGAGGTGATTATGCACTGAATTTCACATTTAAAAGTGACAGGCATTAGTCAATAGCTGAGGCACTAACACCAAGACTACTTTAAAAAACTTCCTGAGCCACTGACACTCTGCCCAGGATTGCCTAGGAGGGTAAGAATGTAGATGCACCCTTTTAAGACCGAGGTTGGATATATACATAAAGTGAAGGTAGGGTGTCTCACTGCCTCAGAAGGCAGAAGCAGAAACGTCAGACTGTTTGAATTTGCATTCTCTAACTGGATACCCAGTCAGCCCTCTCGCATCTATTTAAAAGCACATGGAGAGGCAAAAACAAAATACCAAAACAAACAAAAAGCTGATTATTTTACTCCATGAGTTATAATTTCTTACTTTCAGTGACTAAGATAAATTACTAAAGAAAAGCCCCAACTCCCTCCCTTCTACAGTTTCTCTGCTCACCTTTGGACAAGTGATTTCGGTCTGCTGGATCATGATGAGAGCTGAGGCTATCAGGGCCCCTTGCCTCACGTAGTTCACAGGGTCATTTGTCATTGGCTCTAGTAAATTAATTGCTTCCTGCAATTGTTACAAACAAAAACAAACAAAACTTTAAATGAAGTTGAGATGGCTGTATTTTCAAAGCAGTCACTTTAAAAGGTATCTTAGGTTAAGGCAATGTTTAAGGTTCCTTTTTCTTTTTTTTTTTGAGACAGGGTTTCTCTGTGTAGCCCTGGCTGTCCTGGAACTCGCTCTATAAACCAGGCTGGCCTCCAACTTATAGAGGATCTGACTCCTGAGTACCAGGACTGAAGGTGTACGCCACCACTGCCTGGCTAAATTTCTTAAATAAAAGTAATCACATGCCAAATCTCTTTCGGCTAGGTACAGATACTAAGGTCACACAAATTATCTAGAAATAAAGCAGACTTGTTTAGTATGAGCAATAAAAATTTTTCAATGTATTAACTTGTCAGATGCCATGTTTCAAAGAACATTTGCTCCTAGATATCATATTAAGTTTAGAATAATATGGAAAGAAAAAGATCCAATTTGTATTTAACTTATGAGAGCTGACATAAATGTAAATGAAAAGCCTAAGAGGAAAAATGCTTAGCAAAATATCCAACTGTATCCTTCCTTTGTTTATAGAACATAGGTATACAAGAAAAAGAGGCAGCTAGTGAGACAGCTCAGCAGCTAAGGAGCCCACTGTTAAGCCTGAAAACCTGAGTTTGATTCGCAGGACCCACATACAGAAAGAGAAAACCCGACTTCTGCAAGCTATCCCCTGACCTTGATGTATGTGGGTGGCATGCATGAATTTTCTCCCTTCTATAACAAAGAAAAAATTCTTATATTTAATGATCTCTCTAATAAAAATGAAGACACACACACACACACACACACACACACACACACCACCACCACCAACACCAAATCTTTTTCGAGACAGGGTTCCTTTGTGTGGCCCTGGCTGACCTGGAACTCACTCTATAGACCAGGCTGGCCTTGAACTCAAGAGATCCAACTGCCTCTGCCTCCTGAGTGCTGGAATTAAAGGCATGCGCCACAATATTTTATTTTAATTATGTGTATGCATGTGTAAAGGTGGGAGTGGGTATGTGCACACGATTCAGGTACCTTTGATAGCCAGAGGAAGATATGGGATCTCCCAGAGCTGGAGTTAAAAGGTGGCTGTGAGCTTCTTGATGTGGGTGCTGGGAACCAAATTACGATCTGCTGCAGAACTAGTCTGTGATCTTAACCATGGAGTCATCTTTCAAGCCTCTGAGATACGCTTCTTTGTTTTTTGAGACAGGGTCTCACTATATAGCCCTAGCTGGCCTGGAACTTGGCCTTGAATTCATCAAGATCTACCTACCTCTGCCTCCAAAGTGCTGGGACTAGAGAAATGTGCTACCATGCCTGTATTCACAGATGTTTACATGAGAAATTCCCTCCCTAATAAATCCAGTGCCAAACACGATTGCCAGTCTAGCAGTGAACATTTTGCTCATAGAAATCTTCTATTTCAGTAGAAGTGCATCTATATCTATATCTATATCTATATCTATATCTATATCTATATCTCAGGAAGCTGGCTATGGTGATGTAGTCCTGTAATTGTAGCATTTGAGAAGCAAAGGAGGGAAAATTCAGGGTTCGAGGCCAGCCCAAGCAACAGGGCAGGACTCTGCCTAAAGAGGGAAAGAGGGAAGGAGGGAGGGGGGAGAGAGAGAGAGAGAGAGAGAGAGAGAGAGAGAGAGAGAGAGAGAGAGAAAGCAGGACAACTAGAATAGGATAAAACACCAGGAGAGAATGAAATAGCTCTAAAACTTGTTTTTTAGAAAAATAATCTATTTTACTTTTATGTGCATTGGTATTTTGCCTGCACATATGATTGTGTGATGATATTGGATCCCACACACAGGAGTTACAGACAGTTGTAAGCTACCATGTGGGTGCTGGGAACTGAACCAGGGTTTGGTGTGCGGATATGTGTATGTGTGTGTGTGCCTGAGCTTGTATGGGCATGAATGCCATACTGTGCAAATGGAACATAACCTGTGGGAACTGTCCATCTTTTTCTACCTCATAAGTCCTAGAGGCTGAACTCAGGCTGCCAGGTTTGGTGGCAAGTACCTTTACCTGTTGAGCTATCTTGCCAGCCTAAAGGAAATTTAGAACTTTTTTTTTTGCATTAAATAATGTTTGTGTGTACACAGTATCAATGATGTGTGATGGATGCACTGGGGGGAGGGGGTTATAGCTAATACAAACACTCTTTATTAGAGGAAAAAGTCAAACAAGTTGGGCCTGAGAGATGGTTCAGTGGTTAAGAGCAGGAGATGCTCTTACAGAGGACCTGGGTTCAATTCCAGGATCCACGCACAGCTCAAAATTGTAACTCCAGTTCCAGTGGGCCCAATGCCTTCTTCTGGCCTCCACAAGCACTACATGGAGGGTATGTAGATATACAAGCAGGCAAAACATATAAAAAAAAGTATCGAGTTGAAAGAAAGGTCCACCCAACGCGCCTAAGAGGTATGCATGTGTGCTATTCAAGGCTCTGGATCAAGATTTTATGTTACAGCCATCTGGAAATCCGATGCTTCTGGCCTCCATAGCACCCACACTCATGTACACATACCCCCACACAGCATGCATTCCATGCATGTAATTAAAAATAACACAGAATGAGTTAATTTTGGGTGGCTTCAGACACCAATCTTAATTTCCACAGTAATGGTTAAACAGAGAGAATAACCATGTAACATGACAGAGCAGTTCTTAATGGTTATCCACAAGTATCATTGTTTGTTCTTAGGAGGCCTCAGGCACTGCAACACAGTAGAGTGGGGAGCACTGTGAAGCTCTGTGTGCCGAGCTCAGTCTTAGAGATCACACTGCATCTGTTATTTTCACAGCTGTTTCATATTTTCTGTAGCGGAAAAGCCTGGTGCCAAGAAAGAATTGACCCTACTGGTTTTGGGCCTTACCTTGTTTCCTGTACCAGCACAGCAGATCCCCAGGGCCATTGCAGCCCCATATCGAACATGAGGGTTGTAACTCTCTGACAACAAAGAAACAACACTTGGACACTGTTCAGGGGTCCTAATAGGAAACAAAGAAGACAGTGTTATAGACAACATGTTATGAACCAAGATGGAAGAACTTTAAACACGTTTATATTGTCTTATTAACAAATAGGTTATAGGATTACAAATCTTCCACAGAGCAGGAGGTGTTGGCTCAGACCTACAATCCCAGCACTAGTGAAATAGAGCAGGAAGATCACCACTTGAGCACAGTCTGTATTACACAGGAAATTCAAAGGCATCAAGGGATACAAAGTGGTAAGACTATTAAAAATAACTGGGAAAAAAAAAAAAAAAACTCCCACAGAATTCTACTGACAGTAGAAATATATCTTCTATATTCAGAAAACAGGCAAAGAGGATTGTGTCAGGAACTTCTCAAGCAAGCTCTCTGCATGCTGGTTATTTTCTAGCAGCACCTTTCGAAGTGGAGAATGGTCAGGCACACGGAGCACATTCCTCTGCACCCACTTTCTTACTTTCTGGGCACTATACATTTTGTTACCTCAGACAAGGCATTTACAGAGTCTTTAAGATGTTTCCAGGGCAGCATAAAAGGTATAAATACTCCAATTCCAGCACTCTGGAAGCAGAGGATACCTGTGAGTTTGAGGCCAACCTGGTCTACATTGTGAGTTCCAGGTCAGCCAGAGCTACATGGGGAGTAGGGTTGGGTATGATACACTGAAATAAGTAACAGAATTCAGATATTGTATTTCAATGAAAAATTCTTTGATTATAGCAAATAGTCATCTTGCCAATGTTACTATTTGTACAAACCTTCCAAGGGGAAGAACTGAAGACAGGAATGCACACAAATCACTGACGTCATCTAACCATAAATTGCACATATGAATTTCTTTGTTTCAACACTCTGGCTTCTATCTACTATTTCTCTACTGAGTATTTTCTACAACTACAACATTACATCATGCTAATAAATCAAGATGCTTTCAGAATATGGAGTCTTTCTCGTCCACTCTCTAGCTCTCGCCACCAACAGAGGAAAAACTAGTAATATATGTACACAGGCAGAAACACTGTTCTTGGCAGGGTCATCACAAAGGAAGTTTTGGAGGTATAAAATCTCATATTTTTTTGCTAGAGTATAAAATCTCATATTTTTTTGCCATGATGTCAGAGGCTTAGCACAATACACAGGAACTAAGATATATTAGCCCTGTAAGGCCTTGGACTCCCTACAATCCAAGCACCACCTTAAATAGAATGTAAGGGCCAGTTGGATGTCTTTAACCAAAGACATCACTGATGCCTCAGTCAAAATACAGAAAGGACTAAATATCACCCTCCACCCCAACCACTTCTCTCATAATGACCATTCATCTATATAATTCCGTTCTATTCATTCCCTCAGATTCCCCAACTAATATGCTAGTAAATCAAGTGAAACCCTTAACTCTTATTTCTGCTTTCATTGGCCTTGTTTCTGTCAACTTAGTTTTATCTTATTTATTTGTGTTTAGTTCACTGACATAGAGGGAACATAGGCTTAGAAATCAGAAAGAGCGGGGTTCCAATCCTAGGGTGGTTATTTATCACCAGGGAGACAAGCTCTGACTCTTACTGAGCCTTAATTGTCTCATTCACAAAGTATTATCTGTTCCTCTTTGTGCATGCTGGAGAGAGCAGACATGTCTCTATGTTGTCACCATTGAAATCTAAATGCAAAACCAGAAATTGGCTTTGGTCAGATCAGGCATTTGTGTACTAACATGCTGTAGTTGGATCTGTAGAAAGACAGTGTAACTTATAGTCAAAGGTTCTTTCAAAACAGTATCAAACAAGCTGGATTTCCTAGATAACTAGCTATACTTAAGCTTCTCACTTTCAGAGTTCCTCAGCAACTTTTTAGGGAACTAGTGACCCACAGTATTTAACAATTTGCCATTTGGTTGCAGCAAGGGCAGGATATTCCAGGGGAAACTGACTTATAAAAAAAGAGTTCACCTAAAAATCTATCTTAAAACTTGACCTATTTTATAATCTCCATCTGAAAGTAGTAGGAACACACCCCCATATTCAGTTTTCCTTCCTTCCTTCCTTCCTTCCTTCCTTCCTTCCTTCCTTCCTTCCTTCCTTCCTTCCTATTCACTGTAGAAAGCTCTAGGTTTCACTCTATTTTCATGCATATGTATAATGTACTCTGACCTCACACACCCCTCCATCACCTTTAATAGAAAACCACCTGAAAGAGGATACAACTGGGACTTAGTGTTTTGTTTCTCAAATGGCATTATTATTTTGTGAGATTTAGGAAAAAAAAATTCTCCCTGGGAGTGCAAATACTAGGAGATGTTATACGATTTTACTAGCTAGCTGATTGCAGTTGGGACTTAAACTGGTAGTGAGGGCTAGAAACTCAAAGGCTTAAAAGAGAGAAAAAAAAAGAAAGAAAGAAAAAGTAAAAACAAAACAAAAAAACCCTCGCCCTGTCAGTTTTAGTCTAATAACATTCCAGACCTGACACATTCTTTAGAAAACTGAAGTGTTTAGACAAGGAAAGGCAGCCTTTAATAAACTAGCTTAGGCACTTAATCTCTTTTGAAGAGCACAATAAAGCCATAAGCTCTTCATAGGCTTGTCAGGGTTTCGGCAGACAGCTCTAACGGACAAAGTAGTTTCTAAGCAGTAACTGAAATGCAAAAACACATCAAAAGCAAAATTTGTACAAAGTTATCTTTGCACACACACATGTATATAATGATTTCAAGTACCAGTAAATGAAGTCATGATAAAATTGCATAATCATTTTGCACTTTATAAAGAATCAAGAGATCTCAACATGACTATCCATGACTGACTATATCATGAAAACAATTAGACTTTATGTAAATCATCGGTCTTAGCTCTCAATTAGGAAACAGACAAATAAATGGGGAGAGAGAAAAGGAACCTGAATGTTATCAAGCTTCTAAAACCAACAGTCAATGTATAGGAAACAGGGGTCAGTGAGATGGCTTGGCTGGTAAGGCACCTGCTGTCAAACCTGACTACCTGAGTTTGACCTCTGAGACCCACATGACTGAAGGAGAATTCAATGCAAGCTGTCCTCTGACACATGTGCTTGGCACGCACACTCCTCCCCCACACCGTGTACAAACTAAGAAACAAAATGTAACAAAAGTTTAAGAAGAATTTTAGGAAGTACAGAGAACAAAATAATACATTAAATTACAACACAGAGAGATGCAATGAACAAAAAGGATTATGAGAAACAAATAGGAATGACCTAAAAGAAGGGAGAGAGAGAAAAAGAAAGGAAAGAAATAGATCTCGAGGATTATCTGAAGCTAACTGCTGATGGGGAGGGGAAACCATTTTCTTCAGTGTTACAGCCATTGGTAAGATGCCCATGCTCTGTAAATAGCCCAAGGAAACAACTTGCTGGAATACAGGCGCACATGAAAGTAGAAGCAGGCTAGCTGGGAAGAGGAAAGTGATGAATGGGAATGGGGGAGGGAGGATTGAGAAAGAAGGAGACAGAAGACAGAAGATAGAGTCGGGAGAGCTGTCAGCCATCTCAAATTTATTTCTCACAGCCCTTTTATACCCAAAGCAAAAGAGGAGGCAAGAGACTTCCATGGTTCAAGGAACAAATAAGTGTAATCACCTCCTTAATTCTCAAAACATCTAGTTTTGCCTTTGGCCAAACATCCTGCTATTTGGACTCGAGGAGCATGAACAAGCTTGAACTCTCTGACCTTAAGACAAGCTAGAATGGAGTCACTCTGGCCTCCCACAGATAAGGGAGAGTAAGAGGATGTGAAATATTTTATGAACATGTATGAAAATATCATAATAAAAAAATGCAGAAATCCTGCCAGGTGGTGGTGGCAGCAGCGGTGCATGCCTTTAATCCTAGCACTTGGGAGGCAGAGGCAGGCAAATAATTGTGAGTTCAAGGCCAGCCTGGTCTACATTCCAGGACAGCCAGGGCTGTTACAGAGAAACCCTGTCTTGAAAAACCAAAAACCAAACAAACAAAACACAAATCCCATCAGTAATCTAGAAGCAAAGAAGTAACTAAATTACAGAGGACCTATGAAGACCCTTAAAAGAAGAAATACTGAGAATACTAAAATTTTAATACTAAGCCAGTCTTATTAAGAAGTTGCCAGTGAACCAGCTCCCAAATTCAGAGGCTGTTTAGCAATGAGCAGTGACAAAGTTTCTGCCAAAATCTATGTATACAAGTACCATGCAGATCTTTCTGTACTCTTCTATATAAGGCTGTGATGTGAGCAAATTAATTGTGTTCCACAGCAAAGGCTGGATGAGAATCTTGTTTCATTGCTAGAAATTACTAGTTCCAAAACCTCTAGATTATATTTCTTTTTTCCTCAAAAGGGAAAAACAGCCGAGGTTTAATTCCAAATAAAATCATCTTACACTAAAGTAAGAATTTACTACAGTTCACCCCAAATCAAAGATAACGGGTAAGAACGTAACTTGAATAAGGGTCATGAACTGGTTGGACACAATTAATGAGTGGTTTTATGAATTACAATGAATACAGCTATGGTCTAATAATGACAGTATCAAAGAGGAAATAACCTCTCTGGCAGGCGTACAGCTGCACAACACATTTGTTTCACTGCTTACAACTGCCAGTGCTGGAGGCTCTGAGTAAGTCAATGGGAGGAGGATGTCAGGAGAAGGAGTCCAAGTGAACAGACACAGACGGCATGCTTAGGAAACACACACAGATGAGAGGTAAGTAGTTAGCAAATACATATGGAACTAAGGTTTTTGTTGTTTTCATCTTAATCTTCAGGAGCTCTGCTTCCAGGACTTTTATATCTGTTCAGTGGATTAAAATTTATAAACACAATGGGCAATTTTAATGGGGTTTGTGAGTATAATGAACAACTAACTTCATCTTCCTCTTATGGTGCTTCTTAAGGGAATTGGGAAGAGTAAGGAAAATATAAGCACTTAAAAAATGGTTCAAATGTGGCAGACTTAGGTGATTACATTTAAAACCTTGTAGAAAGA